ACTCAGTTGCGGATGCATCTGGTGGTGAAAGGAGAGTCCAATGCTGCAAAGATCTATACTCCATAGGAACCTGGAACTTAAGATCCATGATTCAAGGCAAGCTGGATGTGGTCAAACAAGAGGTGACAAGACTGAACATAGACATCTTAGGAATCAGTGAACTGAAATGGACAGGAATGGGTGAATTTAATTCAGATGACCATCAGGTATATTACTGCGGGCAAGAATGCCTCAGAAGAAATGGAGTAGCCTTCCTAGTCAATAAAAGAGTAGGAAAAGCAGTACTGGGATACAATCTCAGTTCGAATCCAAGGCAAACCATTCTACATCACAATAGTCCAAGTCTATGCCCCAACCACTGGTGCTGAAGAGGCTGAAGTTGACCAGTTCTATGAAGGCCTACAACACCTTCTAGAATTAACACCAAAAAATGATGTCCTTATCATCATGGGGGATTGGAATGCTAAATAGGAAGCCAAAAGATCACTGGAATAACAGGCAAGTTTGGCCTTGGAGTACAAAATGAAGCAGGGCACAGGCTGATAGAATTTTTTTCAAGAGAATATGATGGTCATAGCAAACACTCTTTTCCAACAACCCAAAAAACGACTCTACACATGGACATCACCAGACGGTCAACACAGAAATCAGATTGACTATGTGCTCTGCAGCCAAGATAGAGAAGCTCTATACAGTCAGTAAAAACAAGACCAGGAGCTGACTGTGGCTCAGATCATGAGCTTCTTGTTGCAAAATTTAGACTTAAATTTAAGAAAGTAAGGAAAAACACTAGGCCACTCAGGTATGACCTAAATCATATCCCTGATGAATATACAGTAGAGGTGACAAATAGATTTAAGGAATTAGATCTGATAGACAGAGTGCCTGAAGATGGATGGATGGAGGTTCGCAACATTGTGCAAGAGGTAACAACTAAAACCATCCCAAAGAAAAAGAAATTCAAGAAAGCAAAATGGCTGTCTGAGGAAGCTTTGCAAATAGCTGAGGAAAGAAGCGAAAGGCAAGGGAGAAAGAGAAAGATACACCCAGCTGAATGCAGAATTCGAGAGAATAGCTAGAAGAGATATGAATGCCTACTTCAATAAACAGTGCGAAGAAAACAATAGAAGAGGGACGTCCAGGGACCTCTTCAAGAAAATTGGAGATATGAAGGGAATATTTCATGCAAAGATGGGCATGATAAAGGACCAAAATGGCAGGGACCTAACAGAGGCGGAAGAGATTAAGAAGAGGTGGCAAGATTACACAGAAGAACTATACAAGAAAGAGCTTAATGTCCCTGATAAGCATGATGGGGTGGTCACTGACCTCGAGCCAGACATCCTGGAATGTGATGTCAAATGGGCCTTAGGAAGTCAGAGCTACAACAAAGTTAGTGGAGGTGACAGTATTCCAGCTGAGCTATTCAAAATCTTAAAAGATGATGCAGTAAAAGTGCCACATTCAATATGCCAGCAAATTTGGAAAACTCAACTGTGGCCACAGAATTGGAAAAGGTCAGTTTACATTCCCATCCCAAAGAAGGGCAATGCCAAAGCATGTTCAAACTACCGCACCATTGCACTCATTTCATATGCTAGCAAAGTTATGCTCAAAATCCTACAAGCTAGGCTCCAGCAGTATGTGGACCGAGAACTACCAGAAGTACAGGCAGGATTTCAAAGAGGAAGAGGAACTAGAGGTCAAATTGCCAACATAGGCTGGATCATGGAGAAAGCTAGGGAGTTCCAGAAAAACATCTACTTCTGCTTCATTGACTATGCTAAAGCCTTTGAATGTGTGGATCACAACAAATTGTGGCAAGTTCTTAAAGAGATGGGAGTACCACACTATCTTATTTGTCTCTTGGGAAACCTATATGCGGGTCAAGAAGCAACAGTGAGAACTGGACACGGAACCACAGATTGGTTCAAAATTGAGAAAGGAGTTCAGCAAGTGTCATGAGGCCGATTGTATAAACATTCAACTCTCCACAGAGCAATAAAACTAAAGTCCTTTAATGTTAATTGTCTGCAGGATTTACAATACTATAGATAAGTTCCCTAATAGCGGTCCCAGCTAAGCAGATGTCAGCCCTATAATGGCCTCTCTCTGAGCCCACATGGGATCATTCTCCCAAGTCACGCCTTTCTTCTCTCTTATGCTGCCTACTTTGTAATTGTTCAAATCTATGCAAAAGACGTCTGTTCTCGGCTTTTGAGAAATCTATGACACCTATAGTGTCTTCTGTTTCTGGCTCAGGGAGATCAGCATCAGGAGGGGAGGAGGCAGTTTGCCTCTTTCTGAGTAGAACTTGCAGCTCCCTCTTTCTCATGACTCTCTGTCTCTGATAAAGGTCCAGGCGTTTGCTCAACGAACTGGGGCTCAAGGGAAGACGTTCAGCTGTCCCTGCACTGGGTTGCTGGGGCGACTCTTGGGCACAGGGTGCCAAGTGCAAGGTCTCCTCGTGAGTCACTGTTTCTGTCAGAGCTTCATGCACAACAGCAAGGCTGTATACTGTCGCCCTGCCTATTTAACTTATATGCAGAGCACATCACGAGATAGGTGAGGTTAGATGAATCACCTGTTGGAATTGAGATTGCTGGGAGAAATATCAACAATCTCAGATATACAGATGATACCACTCTCATGGCAGAAAGTAAAGAGGAACTAAAGAGCCTGTTGATGCGGGTGAAGGAGGAGAGCGCAAAAGTTGGCTTGAAACTCAACATTAAGAAAACTAAGATCATGGCATCCGGTCCTCTCACTTCCTGGCAAATAGATGGGGAAGAAACGGAGGCAGAGACAGATTTTATTTTCCTGGGCTGCAAGATCACCACAGATGGGGACTGCAGCCAAGAAATTAAAAGACGCTTGCTCCTGGGGAGGAAAGCTATGGCAAATATAGACCGCATTCTAAAAAGCAGAGACATCACCCTGCTGAAAAAAGTGTGTATAGTCAAGGCTATGGTTTTCCCTGTTGCAATGTATGGCTGTGAAAGTTAGACTATAAAGAAGGCAGAGTGCCGAAGAACTGAGGCCTTTGAATTGTGGTGCTGGAGAAGACTCCTGTGAGTCCCTTGGACCGCAAGGCGATCAAACCGGTCAGTCTTAGAGGAGATCAACCCTGACTGCTCTTTAGAAGGCCAGATGCTGAAGATGAAATTCAAATATTTTGGCCACCTAATGAGAAGGAAGGACTCACTGGAGAACGGCCTAATACTGGGAACAATTGATGGCAAAAGAAGAAGGGGACAGCAGAGAATGAGGTGGCTAGATGGAGTCACTGAAGCAGTCTGTGTGAACTTAAGTAGACTTCGGGGGATGGCAGAGGACAGGAAGGCCTGGAGGAATATTGTCCATGGGGTCGCGATTGGTCGGACACAACTTCGCTACTAACAACAACAAATGTTTGTACAGGACAAGATTTTGCATTTCAGTGTTTAGAGAGGGTAACTAGTGTCCCCTTGCTCATTTACATAAGCATTTGTTGATGTGTTGTCAGTTTAAATCAAGATATGGAAATTGAAAATATCCTGTCCGACAAAAAGAAAAATGACTCTCAGCTCGAACAAGCTGATGTTCTTTAATCTCTCTGCTGGTGCTAGATCTGGAGGAACCCTTTTTGGAATCTGTAGCTCTAGCATTCATGGACATCCTCTTGTGCACAGCCTGGTCCTGCAAATCAAGCCAAGCCACCACAGAAAATATGTGAGTGCTTGTGCGCCCCCTGTTGCACAAGCAGCAACCTTCCCTATCAGCTGCAGCTGCCTGAAGAGTGGCTGCAGGATGTGAAAGAAGGGTATTGCAAGTAGTGAGCTGTGTGCCACTCCCAGCAACCAACTTTCCTCCCCATCCACTGCTCCTGGCAGCAGTGGTAGGCACAGAGGAGGAGAGCAAATGGGTGCTGCCAGTGCTTGCGCCAGGCACCATTCTTGGTGACCAGACTTCTTCCCCTCTGGGTGCCATGGTGGCAGCAGTGTTGGGCATAGAAGAGAGGCAATGCTTGCACAGCACAAGGGGCTCAACTACTGGTGAATGCCCCATGAAAGCTGGGAACTTAGATTCAGGGCTGCCGCAGGGCAGACTGGAGCCCAGGAAGCAGAGGCGATGGAATCCAATGACTCCCAACCCCAAATGGATGAGTCACACTTCCCTATGCTGGCTAGCTGGGGTCTCAGATGAGTTCCCAAACTAAAGACACCAGTACCAGTAATCATAACTTATGTTCTTGGTATGAAGACCACCACATGTGTTCTTGAAGAACCCCTGAAAGCTGGTGGAGGAGGTGGGAGGTGAAGTGGATGTTACCCTGCAATAGAGGAACAAAGCCAGGACTGTAACAGGAATTTTCCTGTTGCATACGACAGCAACGAAAATTCTGCTGTTATCTCAGATTGGAGATAGTGGGAGGGTGGTGGGTTGAAGGTACGGGGACTTGCTTGTACTGGGGAGAGTGGATGCTCTCCCTGTGTACAGGTCAATCACCTCACCTCCTTCCTGTAATGGGAGAAGGAGTTGCAGGTAGCAAAGTGTTATAGACACGGAATAAAGTGTCTGCTGCAACTCTAATTGAAGAATTGTATCTCCTTCTATTTCCTGCATGGATTTCCTCCAGGCCTGAAACCTTGCACATGAAGAAATCAATCTGTAGATCCGTTATTGATCTACACAGGATTCCATTTCTGTGCCCAGTTGAGATTGCACTTGGTTTTTAGAGTAGGCGAGAGCACTTCTGCTGCTTGTCCACTTCTTTTCCCCATCCCTCACTTGCATGCTATAGAATTTGGGGAATATTAGACATTCAGAATTTGTTATCAGCATGCAAGACTGGATCAGAAATACTTTGTTTAGGGTTAAGAGTATAAAATGATATAAACAATATCTATGATCATGGGCAGCATTCTTTACCCACCTTCAAAGCCATTTTGTTTTGGTCTCATGATCTATATACAGTTAACAAAATCATCAGACAAATGTTATAGACACGGAATACTTACCTTTTCCCCCTTTACTCCACTACAGTCACATTTTCCACAGCCAAAACAAGCCTGCAAGTTAAAAGGGGGAGAAAACCATGAATTTGAAAATAATTTCAACGCATGGTAAATTGTTGGTTAGAGAAAAAAAGAATTAAACCATTAGTGGGGAATGTAACCATTAGTGGGGAATCATCGAGATGGTGGCCAGTGACAAGCGGAGTCCCCCAGGGCTCTGTCCTGGAGCTGATCCTGTTTAATCTTTTTGTAAATGACATGGAAGAAGGGGTGAACAGTCTGCTGATGAAATTCGCAGATGATACTAAAACTGGAGCAGTGGCCACAACTGAGGAGCAGGTATTCCAGTTCCACAAGGATCTGGACAGACTATGGAAGTGGGCAGGAGACAACAGGATGGCGTTCAATGTGGATAAGTGCAAGGTCTTGCACTTGGGCCATAGAAATAGGTGCCATAAATACAGGTTAGGGGACAAGGGTCTGGAGAGCAGCATTTGTGAAAGGGACTTCAGGGTACTGGTTGACTTCAGGCTAAACATGAGTCAGCAGTGTGATGCGGTGGTTAAGAGGGCAAACGCCACCCTTGGTTGCATAGTCAGAAGTGTGGCTTCTAGATCGAGAGAGGTATTATCACTCTGTATGACTCTGGTGCGCCCGCAACTGGAGTATTGTGCTCAGTTTTGGGTTCCTCATTACAGTGAGGATATACAAGGTGGTAAGGGCAGGGGGGACAGGCCAGGGTGAGGCAGGGGCGGGCGCTTGGAGATTGTTTTCTTCAAGAGAGTCCAAGGAGATTGTTTTGGACTCAATTGGAGAAAACAATCTCCTTGTGAGCAAGCCGCCAGATGGTGAGGTGAGGTGCCGGCTTGCTTGCAAGGAGATCCTTTTCTCCAAGCAAGTCCAAAATTATCTCCACACGAGCAAGCTGCTGCCTTGCCACGTGTGCGCAGTGAGTCCAAAACCTCTATGGCGGGCCGGATAAATGGGCATGGCGGGCCGGATCTGGCCTGCAGACCGTAGTTTGAGGACCCATGCTCTAGTGGTTAAATGGGCAGTCCAGGCCCTAAGGAAATATTTATGAGGTGGGGGGCATTACAATGGTTAAACATGATGAAAGATGACAACCTTCAGCTCATCCATTGGTACTTGGCCTCGCAGGCCTATGCCTTTACCATCAAACACAGCCTCTGTGAGAAGTGGCTGGGTGGCCCTGCTGTCTCTGTACCCAGTATTGCATTAAACGTGTTCCACTGCTGACTAAGTCTGTTTGTGGTGATAGAGGCAATGGAGCAGGGGAGAAGGTTGATGTTCCCCTCCCCCATGATACAGTCACAACTTGATCTATAGAATTCAGAAAACAGGAAGAAAGCAGAAAGAAATGAATGCAGTAGTCAAAGAGCAGATCCCTTCTTTCTTCTTACTGTATGTAATTAGCAGCTGCAGTGAGGGATTTGGACTGAACTCTTTTTCCCAAGCCATAGTCCTGATCTGGCTAGCAAAGGTTGTTTTTCAATCCATATTCAGAAAATCAACTTTGCAGTATTTGCAAATGATATTTAATAAGACATTTAAGGGCAAGACTTTTGTTTGAATACTCTACACCCCTGAGACTGGTTAGGAGGTTTTGAGAGCTTAGGGAAGTGAATCACAGAATAACAGATTTGGAACAGACCAGAGGGCCATCAGGTCCAACTTCCTGATCAGTTCAGGACTCCAAGTTAAACCATCCCTCTCCGATGGCCACCCAGCTGCATCTTGAATGCAATTAGTGTGGGAGAGTCCATGACCTCCCTAGTCAGGAAGTTTTTCCTGATATCTTGCCAGAATCTAGCTTCCTGTAACTTGAGCCTATTATTTTACATCCTGAACTCTACTATGAACAAGATAAGATCCTGTCCTCCTTCTGCGTAACAATCTTTCAAATACTTGAAGAATGCTAGCCTATGTCCCTTCTGTCATCTGCTTCTCAAGGCTACCCAGTTCTTTCATTCTTTCCTCATAGGGCTTTGTTTTCAGTCCCTGGGATCATCCCTGTCGTCATCCTCTGAAGTCTTATTAGCTTCTCTGTATCTTTCTTAATTTGGTTTTTAGTCATGCCAGCCACATGACCACAGAGACTGTCTGCAGACAAATTCTGGCTCCCTCAGCTAGGAAATGGAGATGAGCACCACCCCCTAGAGTCAGACATGACTGGACTTTAATATCAAGGGGAAAACTTTCCCTTTACTTTACCTTTATCTTTCTTAAACTGTGGTGCCCAAAACTGGATGCAGTACTCCAGATGAGGCCTGACCAGTGGTGAGTAAAGGGGAAATAGCATTTCATGTTATTTGGAAGTGATACTTCTATTAAAGCAGCCTAAAACAGCATTTGTCCTTTTTGCAGTCGCATCACATTGTTGCCTCATATTCAGCTTGTGATCTACAACAATTCCAATTTCCTTCTCACTTGCGGCATTGCTGAGCCAAGTATTCCCCATCTCGTAATGATGAAGTGGATTGCTTGTCTCTTTAACAACTGATTGCAAGTTGTCTCCCCCCACACATACATCCTTACCCCTTCTAGTAATCTTCTCCAGCTGAGCACATCAGATTAGAATCACCTAATCATCTGTAATTCAGCAACCTTCTTGGACCTGTTTATATGCCTATTACGGGGTGGTGGGCCTTCAGCTGTGGCCTGACAGTTGGACTGAAGGGATTCCACAAAAGCAAGAGGTTGTCTCATTTTCCTTTGTTCCCTACTGTTTGTACCAGTTGACTATGTATATGCTGGAATATGCTTGACTATGTTCCTAGGTAGAGAGGATTTGGGGCCAAGTAGGGAGGACATGAAGGACCAAATCAGTATAGTGATGGGTAGAGGGAGTTATGGTACATGGGAAGAAGAGTTCTTATCAAGATTGCTGGATGAAGGTAGGGGAGACTTATTCCTTTTTTCCCATCACACATTGCCTCCTGCTTTAATTGGCCTTTCCTCCCCAAACCTCTGCCCCCCCACCCCCAGGATGTTGCAATCTGGTAAGAATTCCACGAGAGGTCGTTGAGGCCCCATCGGTGCGGGTGTTCAAGGATAGGCTGGACGTCCACATGGTGGGCATGTCGTGAGTGGAGCCAGCTGGTGCCGGAGGTCAGACTAGATGGCCCAGGAGACCCCTTCTGACTCGCTCTGTTTTCTATGTTTTCTAAGAACTGGGGTCCACAGTTGACATACCTCTAAATAGTCAAAGAAAAATGAAGACTTTGGTGCAGTCAATTTATTAAATGTCATGTAGTTTTATGCAAACCCCAACTTTGCATAAAACTGCACAGTAACTCCGCTGCTAATTACCAATTCATCTCACTTTAGCTGCAGGGTACCATGGTTTCATATTAGAGTACGACATTCCTGGTTTATCTAAATTAGAGTTGTAATAACCCAGGCAAAGAATGCATTAAAATCTTCCTTTGAAGAATTGGCTGTAAGAATCTTCTGGATGAGAAAATTACAGATGACAGGATGCCAGTTTCAGCAGACTGTTATTCCCATTTGTGGGTCATTTTATTTCCTATTTAAGCTTCCAACTTGTTTTCAAGCATCTCGGCTCTTCTACATATAAAAAGAATGTGCTTCCCAAATGTGTCACTGCCTAAGTTCCCAAGGGTTCCATTCATACTAGCCAGATACATTAAAGGTCAGTTTCAGAGCCCTTTAAATTCCTATATTTTTATTGTACAGTTGTTAATATTTATCATAAATTAAGATTTTGTTCATTCATTTCTGAAAGACCTTACTGTAGTTTTATGTTGCTGTTGTTAGAAGCAAACTGGGAATATATCTAGTGGCACAAACAATCTGCCAGATATAACATTTCATAACAATATGTTCTGAACTGTCAATTTAAAAATGACTTCACAGATGTGGTAGCTTAAAAACAGCAACTAATATAATACAGTTAGGGGTCATTTCAGTTAGAAAGCTGATTCTGACCGTCCAGTTATGATGTTTGTTCTCTTTGCATTATTAATTTTTTACTTTGTGGAGGCTGGGTATTTAAATTTCTATTCAATTCTATTAAGTTTCTTTTAGATTTCTATTATGCATGTGTGTTAGCAGGAATTTATCCTGAAAAGATTGAAATGGACATATACACTATTTTTTGACATGTTTATTCCAATTCACAGAGTAAATTAGGGAGTGATTTTCCACGTGATCACTTAACATATGGGTGGAAGCTGACTCTAGCCTAAAGAGATTTCCAATCCAGCCCATGAAAAAGTGGACACCCCATGTGGCTCTGTCCATGCCCTGTCCCCAGGCCTGGATAATACTAGAAGCTTAGGGTGGGGAAAGAAAGAGGCAACAAGGGGGTCTGCTTGGGGAGTGGCAACCAATGCCAGCAGAGGTATGGTGTAGGGCAAAGCTTGCCATGTCAGCTTCACCATCCATGTGCTTGCCACGTCAGCTTCACCTAATGTGGGAAGCACCATGCAGAGTGAAGCTAGTTACAAGCTCGCACGGTGGGAAGATTATGCAGTCTGCAGAGGGCTGGGTGTCCTCTGACATCCAACTAGAACTTGGTTGCCCAAATCCAGAACTGTGATATAATGCACCCTTGGCACTCTTTTGTACTTCAGTAACTGTCTAAAGCAGGGGTCCCCAACCCCCTGTTAAGAACCAGGCTGCACAGCAGGAAGTGAGTGGTGGACAAGTCTCATAGGAATGTGAACCCTACTGTAAATTGTGCATACAAGGGATCTCAGTTGGGCGCTCCATAGGAGAATCTAATGCCTGATGATCTGATGTGGAGCTGAGGCAGTGATGCTAGCACAGGGGAGCAGCTGCAAAGACAGATTATCATTAGCGGAGAGGTTTGACTGCACAGAGACCATAGTAAATCAATTGCTTGCAGACTCATATCAAAACCCTTTTAGTGAGTGGTGAGTGACTATTAAGCTAGATCTAGTTGCAGGAAACAAGTACAGGACTCCCACTGATCCTGCATTATGGTGAGTTGTATAATTATTTCATTATATGTTACAATATAATAATAACAGAAATAAAGTGTGCAATAA